CGTGATTCAAGCACAGCTGTTTGTTGCTCAGTGTTCCTGTATAGGAACCTAAGGAAGTCTTCTCAAGATTGATGTGTTAAGAATCATCCTTATCAGAAAAAAAATGGAGCATAAAAAAATAAAAGTTATGGTATTGGAATTAAGGAAAGTCTATCCTATAGAATTAGCTGCTAAATGGCCACCAAAGCCTGTGACAGATGGACTTTCCCAGTCATATAAAAGACTGGGTATCTGAACCTGTAGAAGGCCCACTGTGAGGATGATATTAATACTTGAAAGGCTTGTAGCAACCAAGCAAGCTCATGAGAAAGTCTCTGGAGATGGGGTCAATTCCTTCTCTTTGAAGACTCAGTTCTATAGTTTTCAGGTGAAAAGTTTAATATGAAGGTTCTTTTATATACTTTTGATTCAGAGAATGAATTAAAAAGAAAGAACTTGCATATCTTACAGATAACCAAGACCAAAATTATTGATCAACGGAATTTCAAAATAGTCAATTTTAAAAATAGGTCTAGTAAAGAACTATTTTGCTAACAAAATCATTTAAAACTTCTTTGCAAACAGCACTAATCCATATTGTCTCAATTTCCAGATAAAGTTTGCTTACTTCACTTTTTTTGCCTTTTTTGACTTTTTTAATCGGAGCCAAAAACTCAGCAGAGTATGAAAGTTAAGTTGCTTTCTTTCCTTCTGTCTTCTATAACACTATGCCATTTCAAATGCACTTTTATTACATTTACTTTACACTTTACATGGGTGAGCATTTCCTATAGCTGTGTGGGAAATAAAATAGCATGAGTTGCAAATCTCAGGTTGACTTTGCAGCCTTGAAAATCAAGATAAAATCTAGCTCTTTATTTTTATGAACATACAGCTTCAGAAGACACACACTGAATTTTTCCAACACATTTTATTTTTATGGTCCCCTTTCCCAATATAGCTATGGCTAACATCGAGCAAAAGCAAAGAAATTCTGAGTTCTTTGCCCTTGGCACCTTCCACAAAGTTAGAGATAAGCTTTTACTGTTGCGCATTTCCTTATAAAAGACCAAGACCTTAACCAGCTGCTTGAGGCACTGATGCAGAGCTTCTTAATATTATTGCAACATGGTATTTTGACATTTCCCCCCTGTCCCCCAGAGATGACAGAAATAGGGCAAATGAGTTGTTTTTACTACCTTCAGTTATTGCCCGGAGTTATGATTTGTTTTTCCTTTTGACAGATACTGTAACATCAAGGTAGCACCAGCTCACTCTTTAAAGACTGTAACTTAGGAAAGTGTTTTGCTTATAGTTCACCGCCTGGCAGTTCAGCCCTTATCACATTTTTCTTTCACCTCCAGGAAAGACAGGTGTGGTTGTCTTGATATAATTCATATACAGCTATAAAAACTTCAGAATTACTTTGAAATATAAAAAAACAAAGTATTTATTTTGCCACATCTTCAGTTTTCATATGATTTGTATTAGCATGTGTAGTAGCACACGTATTAGCAAAAAAAAAAAAAAGGAAAAAGGAAAAAGGAAAAAGGAAAAGGAAAAAAGAGGGAAAAGGAAAAGGAAAAGGAAAAGGAAAAGGAAAAGGAAAAGGAAAAGGAAAAGGAAAAGGAAAAGGAAAAGGAAAAGGAAAAGGAAAAGGNGAAAAGGAAAAGGAAAAGGAAAAGGAAAAGGAAAAGGAAAAGGAAAAGGAAAAGGAAAAGGAAAAGGAAAAGGAAAAGGAAAAGGAAAAGGAAAAAAGAAAGCCTAACTCACTGGTATGAAAAAATTTCTTCCTAAGGAAAAAGGAAAAGTTACTGCTCAAGTATATTAAATCCTTAATGACTCCACTCAGATCTTTAATTAACAAGTTCAAAGGCATATAACTTACTTCAGAGGTCAAAATTTGCGTCTGCAAAGCCTTAGCAGAAGACCACAGAGTTGCATTTAAAATGCATTAAAATCACTAGTTCCATTGAATTAAAACCTCCAATGCATTTAAAATATCATCATAAACTGCACAGCCCAGCTGCACAAGTCAACAGAATTTTACTGTTATGATTATGCTACAAATTCATGTATGTAAGTGTTTCCAGTAAAAATTCAACCAATGATAACAAAATACACTTCATTAAATAATGACAGTATAAAGTAATAAGACACAAATAATAAACATAATGAAAAGATACACATCTAGAAAACACTGTTCTGGAGCCGTAAGCAATATGCAAGGATGCTTACACCTGCATATGCATTCTTTTTCTTGACAATAAACACTTCAGTCCACAAAACACTTCAATTACTAAAGAACTCGGTCATTGGAATTTTCTGTTTTTCACATGATGTTTGAGTAGCCCTCTGACAAAAGGCATCAAGTTGTCAAGAGTCACATTTGAAAACCAGACAGCAGACACCTCTATATATCATTAGAGATCTCTAACAAAGAGGACTCATCTCCTTCTAAGAGGATCGCAGCATTTTGAAGAAGATGTATACTTCTAAGCATAATTTCAGGACAAAGGGGCAGGGAGAAGAAGAGGGAGACAGTTGTCCATAAAATTGACTTATGTTTGTACAAAAATAGCAACAGAACAACAGCATCAACATGAGCAAATGCTAAACATCTACAAGTGTATAAAAATCATTAGATGTGGGAGATGTTACTTACCTTTTGTTCAGTGTAGATTGTTGCATCATGTCTAAACAGGGTCCTTCTGAGCAGATATTTACCTTCTTTCAGATTGAGCAGAGGTATCAGCAACGTTTCTTTTCAATTCCACTTCCTCAGTACAATCATATATATATATATATGATATATATATGATCTATTATCATATATATATATATACACATGCATTAAGATTCCAAAGCAGCAAGTATAGTGCACTTGAGATATAAACAACTTTTTAAAAAAGCCAAAATTCTCATTTGGATATGCAAATACAAGTTTCTATCACTTGCTCCCAATAAAACCAGCCACTTAAAAAAATGAACTGAAAAGTTATTAGGGAAAATTATTCAGCTTAGTGCATTTTCACTACCCTACTGTGCACTTCTCAGGGATTCAGCAACTGATCAAGCCTCTACTTCCAAACTAATGCAAGTCCAAGTAAGGATTTTAGTACTTTGGCTTTTAGGTTGTATATGCCATACCTACGGCACCATCAGACCAAACACAAAACAGACTAGTCACAAGGATCAGCAAGCACGACAGCAGACAGCGTATCTTAAACCCCGCCCGGTATTTGCCATTTGCACAGCATCCAAGATTGAGATAACACTTCCAGGTGTCCCTTTAAAGAACTGAGCAAAGTTACTCCTCTTCTGATGACAGCAAAGAAGACAAATACTCACTTTTTGTTTTCTTTTCCGCAACACTTAGGAAAAAAAAGTCTGCTTTCAAATACCTGTTTGGATACATGAGGTTCAAGCCTTCATCCTTACTCTTCCATTACCATCCTCATCACCAAGCCTCCCAAGACACAGTGTGTTCTATTGAGGCTATGCAAATAAGTCAATAGTTGGAAATCAAGCTTATTTTTCTTTATAATAGGCAATTTAGACCATTCTGCTTCTTTTTTTCATTCTGTATCCCAAGAATTTTTAAATCAGGTAGGATCTAAGTTTCATCACTAAAGCTTATTAGAACCTACAAGTGATGGCTTGCTGGACCACGTCAATAAGAAAGTCTATAGACATGAAATTACATGAACAAGTTTAATTTCTGTCTTTGCTAAAATACAATTCTGATAGCACCATACAAATGCTTAACCTACTTTTTTTAAAAAAAAAAGGAAAAAGGCATAGCTCAAAGTTTTCCTAGTATTCTCCAGTGTGTTATTCTAAATAGAGTCATTATGTTCCATAAACGCATTTACACAGCAGTGCAAAATCTCTGCACACTGTTTACCTCTTGGGAAAAAAAAAACAGAGTTAGTGAAGAGAAAGGGGAGTAGGAAGCAATGCGTGCAGTTTTTCAGATTTTTCATTTCCTTTCCCTTATCCCCCACTCATTTCAGGGGCAAGGCTATGGTTGTTTTCTCCAGAGGAAACTATGGAACAAGTATATTGCTCTAGAACAGTTAGAAATGTTTCTCTGGAAAAAAAGAAGAAAAAAAAATATTGTCTTAATGTACATGTAATTTACATTCCTGTAATTTACATTCCTGCATTATAATAAAACATGCTGTAAAAGACCACATTATCTGCATGATGTATCTGCATTGGCCAACCTGTTCAGATCTGTTTCACATCCACAACAGAGGTAAGAGGTATTGATGGAGTATCATTAACAGCAGTAAATCTGGCACCTGCTACTTTTAATACTGAAGTAATCTCTGATATTTCATGTCAAGTTTTAGACATTCCATGCTAAGATCATCCAAAAATCCAAAAATATAATTACAACAAAGCACATCACAACTCATTTTGGAAACTTGCAGGCATTCTACATTCACTTTTAAAACAGGATCACAACTACAGTCCAGCCTACATCAAAAAATGAGTCTGTTTTCTCTGCTGGTTCTTTTGAAGTTCTAACAAGGTAAAAGAATATTCAAATTCAAAATGAAAAGCTCACTGTCAACAGAAATAGCATCTGAAATCATTTCATATTATTATTTTTAACTCACTCCCTCCACTCTTCCCTCTTTTCTGCTCCAGTGGGCACCATGCCACCCTCATCATATAGACTTCTAAGCAAAGCACATTTGATCACACTTGATGATAGAGATGCAGAGGTAGAAAATTCAGTTACTGAAACACAGTAGGATTAAACCCCTTTTGCTCTGAAGCCAGAAGGCACAGTGAACTTTGAAGAACACACACTTAACACATGAAATCTAGGAAGCTTAAGATGCAGATTTATTATGCATTAGAAGCTTATTAACTTAAAAAACAGTGTAATACAAAAGTTTAGTTAACTCTGCTCATGTGGAACAAGTTTCAAAATATATATTTTTAAAATTTGTTCAATCAATACACAATCCTTTAAAAAAAGCTGTTTGTCTGTCAGTACCCTCATATAATTCATAAATACATGATTTACACAGCACCCCATCTGGAAAAATTAAAACTCCTTACAAATATCTACATATATTGCATTTATATAAAACATTCATAGGAGTACTTCGTTACAGTTACGTTTAATGGTCCATTTACACTTCAGCAAAATACACATAAATCTGTATTTGTTCATAAAAATGTCTCTAAAAATTAGCATATTTTAACCACTTGTAACTTCTTTAAAGCATCTTTTAGAAAGGAATTTGATATGAATATATCCATGAGACTCAGCAGGTGAGACTGATATGAAGGCTAAATGTGATTAATAACTGAATGCTGACTAGCAGTTAAGGCAGGGGTGAAAAGATTTAATGGGTAAGATTGTTTCATATGGCAGATAAAGTGATAAAATGCAATAAACTTACACACTCCTTGACGTAAACCTCTCTGGTGCCCACTGCCTTTCTTGCCTCAGAAACTGTGTTCTGTCCCAAACCTGACCATTTTGCATATGATTTTGGGAACTGAATATTCAACTTAGTTTCTATTATGTCTGCATGTTGACCTTTTCACCCAATACCAGCATGAAACATGCATTTGCAGTCACTTGCAGGCTGGAAAGTGAATCACATCTAGTTGTGACCTCCTACACGAATCAAACCCTCCTGCAGCGCAGAGTCAGCTGGAGTACAGATGTGATATTCTTGCAGTGCATCTCCTCCATGGCACATGACCACCTTCCTGTTGGAAGCCAGACACTCAGCACATCCCCACCAGCTTCCAGATCTGCAGTCTAGCACATAACTTTCTTCCAGACACTCCCCACAAGTCATTCTTCACACACTGCTGTCTTGCAGCAGAGGTTCAATGTCCTCTTCACTACCTCTCTCTAGGCTGTTGCTCAGAGTACTGCTGATGCTGTTGCTGTGCTTTCTGCCACTGCTGGCTTTACTGTGCTCAGGAATAAATAAGGCTACTAGAAAAGCCAGAAGAACAATACATGCTCCAACCAGGAAGGGTGGACCAGGAATGATTGCTCTCTGCAAGGAAACAAACACACCAAAAAGAATATATGACATTTAGGATACGGACTTCTGCATTAAGAATTACAATATCAGATAGGAGATAATGGGTGATATTTACATGGTCTACAAACAATACAGAACTCTAAACTTGCACTGCAAAAAAAAAAGAAAATGTTTTGTGCATCTACAATTCCTAAGAATTCCTCACCTGATCTACACACTGATCTAAAGCACACAAATAAGCAAAACACTATCCGTTTACAATGATTATCTCACAGATAAAACAGGCATTAACTAATACTCTTTGTAAGACTTCTTTAGGCAACAAGGCTATTAAAACAGGAAAATTCCTGTTAAGATTAATGGGATAAAGTTTTAACAAGCAGAAGTAAAAATGCTCTATAAATCTTAATTTTAATCACTTTACATTTTCACTTGCTTACATATTTTACATTCTTCAAAGTCAGGCTGGCTGGATACATTAAGGTAAAACATGACAGGCCATAATGCCTGTTTTCACAAATAAAAGTCAGTCTATCAATAAAGTAAAAAGCTGAAATTGATTCTGCAGTAATAACAAGATATTTCCTTGCTTCATCTCTTCTGGTAAGCAGAGGCCTAAATTTTCCAGCTAACAATGTCAAAATTTTAAGTTTTACACGTATTATGGAGAATTTATATTAATAATATTATATCTCCAATAGATGCTAAGCCTAGAAATACTTTAAAAATTAATAAACTTCCATGAATGAATCCCCTCATCTGTGACAAAAGAGCTGATCCATCTGATCAACTTTTGAATATGCCACTACTGCACTGAAGGGAGTCATAAGCTGCACAGAAAAGTGCTCCTAGCTCACAGCATTGCTGGATGTTTTTATTTCTTCCCAAACACAGACTGTGATTGTGCTGGTTCTATAAGGGCTACGGGTGGAAAATTCTCATCTTAAGCTACCTAGTTCTGAAAATAGATATTAAGAGGAGAATATGCTTGACTTGTTATTTATCCTGCTATAGGAATTAGATATTCAATATTCTTTAAACAGAGAAATCATAACTTTTCCTAAAACAGAAAAAAAGGCGACGTTCAGTACAATTTTAAGTCCTTTAGCTTAAGTCCTAAGTTGTCTTTAGAAATGAGTAAATGCAAGGTAAGAAAAAGATAAGCAAAAACATAAGTCTCAACCAACGAAAAAAAAAAAAAAAAGAGAAGCCAGCCTCCTACTGGCTTCATTCCTACTGGATTTTTCTCTTCATTCACTTGGCCTATTAAATTACTGAAATTTGACTTTCCTGTCAAAAAAAGCTAGAGAAGTATTGAACAGTTTTAGAATGCTGTCCATCACAGAAAAACTTTATATCTAAAAGATGTCACAACTAAAATATGACACAACATTATGAAAACTTTTATCTTTCTCTAATCAAGTTAAACTTGTCTTTCAAAATGGAACAAAGGACAGCTTTCCCACATTTGTGTGTCAAGAGTTACAGAAACATATTGGTCTTTATATTAAGAACCTAAACAATAGCTATAGAAATAACCTATGTTAATAATGAGAGACCTTTTCCTGCAGTTATAGAAACAACCTAGTATTCAGTAAAGGAAACAAATGAGGAAGATCCTTTTTTAAATTCACCTTGACACCCTGGATTAAATTGAGGTTTAGCCTAATAAATATGCAAGCTCTATTTAGTTCTTGTAGACTCTTACTCTTGACAAGAGCAGGGGTAAATCATGAGCCCAAATATCAACAAAATATATTTAACAAGGATCATCTCTACTTAGCATACATTAAAATACATTATATCATCTACTGCAGCTCCGAAAGCATTTTTTAAAATAAGGTAACCAGAATACCCAGTAGATAGACAGATATCAACTTAAGCACTGGGAGAATCAAAACAAAAAACAAGACTTGCACTGCACCTCTCATTTGCACCTGCAAATCCAAGATACTTAACATTCTTTTCAGTTGGCTTGAACACATTCATTTGCTGCACTCTCTCACTTCTACTTTCATCACCTAACTTAAAAAGATTTCTAAATTAACATGTCATTTAAAAGATGGTGTTCTTTCACACTGTTATACTACATCAAAAATAAGATCTTGTTAAAAAAAATTGTTATTTTCCCAAATGATAGTTTAACATTTTGGGTGTCGGTTTACTACAATAAGTAAAAAATGGAAATATAGCTTACGAGTACATACATAATTAACATAAGAACTGTCCCACTGAAATTAGAATATGAGGAATATAGCTCTGCCATTAATAGAGTTCTGCAAATACTTTTTTTACTGTACTGCTATAAAATGTCTACTTAAAAGTTTCCAAAAACTAAGGAAGTATGAAACTATGCTTGATTTTATACTTTCAGCATAGAAAAAAAAATCATGATTTTAAGAAAGTTCATATATTAGCTTGTACTGAAGATTTAGTCTTAAACCATAACGATATATGACCTAATTACACTTATTAGAACACTCAGTCAATGCAAACTTCCCTGGGCTACTTCAATGAGAACACATGAATTTTCTTAAAGTAATAGGAAATACTGAAAGTTTTTATAATAAATGTACAAAGGTAATAGGCCAACCTTTCCCCCCCAAGAACAACATGGGTGGATTGGTGCTTTAAAAAGCTTCAGAAGCTGAAGTTTCACTAATGGAAGCATGTCAAAACTCTTGAAAAATTTCACTGAATCACAGACTGGTTGATGTTGGAAGAGACCTCTAGAGATCATCTAGTCCAACCCCCTGCTCCAGCAGGGACACCCAGAGCACGGGGCACAGGGCGGCATCCAGGCAGGTTGGGAAGATCTCCAAAGAAGGAGACTCCACAACCTCCCTGGGCAGCCTGTTCTCCTGCTTTGTCACCCTCTCAGTGAAGAAGTTCCTCCTCACAGGGAGATGGAACTTTGTGTGTTTCAATTTATATCCATTTCCCCTTGTCCTGTCACTGGCCACCAATGAGAAGAGCATGGCCCCTTCCTCCCTACATTCCCCCTTCAGGTATTTATAAATACTTATCAGATTCCCTCTCAACCTTCTCTTCTCCAGGCTAAACAGGCGCAGCTCATTTAGTCTTTTCTCATTTTCCTCTTTTCCTCATACAAGAGATGCTCCAGTACCAATTTGAATTAGGTAAGTGATATTTTTCAATTTGATTTCAATTTTGATAGTTTCTTTCCTACGCAATATTAAAATAGATAGAAATCTTTGCCCCCTTATAAAAGTTCTGTTTTGATTGAGCAAACTAAAGAATTCTTCACCATGCATTAAAAAAAAAGCAACATATTCAAGCTCCAAGCCCTGGTTAAACCTGGAAAGACACACGGATTAAGGCATAGACAATAAATGATCACAGGCACAGTTAAAGCTTCAATCTGTTACTAATAAGTAGTAGTAATTTTTATTTCCTCTTTACTGATAAACTGAATGAGAGGCAAAGAGATCTCAGAAGATGCCAGTTATCTGTAAAAGCAATTAACTTGTAGCCAAGGAGCTCAAGGAGAACACACTAAAAAGACAAAAGGTCCACCTGATACCAGATTCAGTAATTACGATTTTGATGGCAAAAGGAAACTTTAACCATGAGTCAGCAGTGTGCCCTCGTGGCCAAGAAGGCCAATGGGATCCTGGCCTGCATCAGGAGGATGTTGCCAGCAGGTGGAGGGAGGTGATTCTGCCCCTCTGCTCAGCTCTGGTGAGGCCGCACCTGGAGTACTGTGTGCAGTTCTGGGCTCCCCAGTATAGGAGGGACGTGGAGCTTCTGGAGAGGGTCCAGAGAAGGGCAACCAGGATGATTAAGGGAATGGAACATCTCTCGTACAAGGAGAGGCTGAGTGAGCTGGGCCTGTTTTCTCTGAAGAAGAGAAGGCTCAGAGGGGATCTGATTAATGTGTATAAGTTTAGGAAGGGAGAATGCAGGGAGGAAGGGGACAGGCTGTTTTCACTGGTGGCCAGTGATAGGACGAGAGGTAATGGCCACAAGCTGAAACACAGGAAGCTCCGTCTCCAGGTGAGGAGGAACTTCTTTCCTGTGAGGGTGACAGAGCAGTGGAACAGGCTGCCCAGGGAGGTTGTGGAGTCTCCTACTCTGGAGGTCTTCAAAACCCACCTGGATGCCACCCTGTGCCACATGCTCTAGGTGTGCCTGCTTGAGCAGGAAGGTTGGACTAGATGATCTCTAGAGGTCCCTTCCAACCCTTAATATTCTGTGATTCTGTGATTCTGTGATTCTGTGAAAGAACAAGCTGACGAAGCGGAATGAGTTTCCTCATTCCATGTGGAATTAGTAAGACTATTGAAACAAATTTCACAAACAAAGTATAAAAATGACTATAGTTTGGTCATATAGAAAACTATGAAATATGAAGTTCAGAAAAAAAAATGCTACAATTTACAAACAATTACCTTCTATTTGCCAAATATTCATATTTTGCTGTGATTCAAATTACAGCTGTGTTTTGAGTATGGTTACAACAAAAGGAAAAGTTGTTGTAATAGTTGAAGCCAAAATTGCTACTTTAAGCCAACACAATCAAACTTTAATTAAGAGTTAATTCTATATTTCAAAAAAAAAAAGTTATTTGGGACTAAATAGTTCAGGAATTAAAATCAAGACTTTAATCAATGAAAAATAATGATTTTTACCATAAAGATTTCTCCAATACGAACTTCACATATTTTATACATACCTCATCACTGGGATCTTGCATTGTTTTTCTTTCAGCATTCTGATCAGGTGGCAATTCATTGAGCTCAACATGAAAGAGAAAGAAAATAAAGCCATACAACGCTGGTCCCAGGCCATTGCACAGACCTCTTATTCCGGTTATTATTCCTTGCACAACTCCTGAGAAGCAAAAGCAAGAAGTTGTTTTTTTAGTATTATTATTAATCAAGAACATTAACAGTCCAATTTTTTTCTAATTAAATGTTTCAAAATATCATATACTATAATATTTCTTATGCACTACAATTTTTAAAAATACTTTGGAGACAACTTTGCTGGATTAAAATACTCCTCTGCATGATCACAATTCTGTCACTATACTACCATGCAGCCTACTCTCAGTTACTTGAGTTCTGAAACTTTGCAATTAAATCAGAGATTAAGAACTGCAGACATGGAGAAGTCTAATCTTCTGAGCAAATCCCCTGAGCAAGTTTGCAGATGACACCAAGCTGGGTGGAGTGGCCGACACTCCGGAGGGCTGTGCTGCCATCCAGAGGGACCTGGACAGGCTGGAGAGCTGGGCAGAGAGGAACCTCCTGAGGTTCAATAAGGACAAGTGTCGGGTCCTGCACCTGGGGAGGAATAACCCCAGGCATCAGGACAGATTAGGGGTCGACCTGCTGGAAAGCAGCTCCACGGAGAGGGACCTGGGAGTCCTGGTTGACACTAAGTTAACCATGAGTGAGCAGTGTGCCCTCGTGGCCAAGAAGGCCAATGGGATCCTGGCCTGCATCAGGAGGAGTGTTGCCAACAGGTGGAGGGAGGTGATTCTGCCCCTCTACTCAGCTCTGGTGAGGCCGCACCTGGAGTACTGTGTGCAGTTCTGGGCTCCCCAGTATAGGAGGGACGTGGAGCTTCTGGAGAGGGTCCAGAGAAGGGCAAGATGATTAAGGGAATGGAACGTCTCTCGTATGAAGAGAGGCTGAGTGAGCTGGGCCTGTTTTCTTTGGAGAAGAGAAGGCTCAGAGGGGATATGATTAATATGTATAAGTTCAGGAAGGGAGAATGCAGGGAGGAAGGAGACAAGCTGTTTTCACTGGTGGCCAGCGATAGGACGAGGGGTAATGGCCACAAGCTGAAGCATAAGAAGTTCCGTCTCCAGGTGAGGAGGAACTTCTTTCCTGTTAGGGTGACAGAGCAGTGGAACAGGCTGCCCAGGGAGGTTGTGGCGTCTCCTACTCTGGAGGTCTTCAAAACCCGCCTGGATGCCACCCTGTGCCACATGCTCTAGGTGTGCCTGCTTGAGCAGGAAGGTTGGACTAGATGATCTCTAGAGGTCCCTTCCAACCTTAAATATTCTGTGATTCTGTGATTCTGTAATCTTCTCCCTAACAATTCTTCCACTCTCACCATATGACTAAAATGAACAAGGCAGAGGTTAAATAGGGCACTTCCTCATTTTATTTTCACCTAAGATTAGATATATGATGTATAAAACAAAGTTACCGGCAAATATGTCTGAACTATGAATTGGCCTCCCTTCTCTAGTCTAAACCAAGGTTTATCAAAGTATCTGACAATATTTTGGGGGTGGGAGAGCAGTAAGTTCATGATGCTGGTTTAGCTCCTGTTTCAGATTAAAATATTAAGTAAGTTTGATTAAGCAAAGTTCAGCAGTTCTATTTTTGATTAGAGCCCATTATGATGGCAACTAACAATTTGATGATCTTAGACTAAGATGCTACAGAACATTATTTTGATATTAGTTGTCGAAGTAGTCCCTTCCTTCTTTTGACAGTATCTTACAAGAAAGATGGAAAATTTTCTTTTGGAATGTTTGTCAGTTTTTTTCCAGCTTATAAGCTTATAGGTTGACCTATAAACTTAAAACTCTGCCTACCACTAGGTGGCAAAACTTCACTCTAGAAACTATTGTATACCTAATCTATAAAGAATAGTCTTTTTTGGTGAAAACAGAAAGATTAATGACTTCTGTAAACTTGCTCTTTAATTAAATTATTTATTTCATGACATGAGTTGACGATTGGTCTTTTAGATTGAAGCCAGAAGGTTTCCACATTTCCTTGTAACTTTCATAATCAGTACTTTTAGAGGAAGTAAGAGGATAATTGACTGTTCTAGTAGCATCTATACATTTTGCAGAAATCTGACATCAAATCTGAACTTTTCTTTTGCATATATATTAGTAGACATTCACAGCTGGTACCACAGAAAGTCCTTACTCAGCCTAATCATCCTGGAAAGCTTGCTTTGCTGCTCAAACACAAGTTCATTTAATACTTACCTTGTTGATCTGACTCTGCATTTCGTGAAACCAGGGCACTGATTGCTGGGAAGGTAATGCTTGACATAGCAGCTACAGCTCCTGCTGCCCACATCATCCTGTGTAAATATACAATTTCGGTTAGAAAACAATGCCAATAATTCCTTCATTCTCCTTCCTATATGTTAAAAAAAGCTACAAGGCCACCCTCATTTAGGGCTTAATCTTCAAAAGTACTGTTAATAAAAATAACTGAAGAGTGGCAATTACCTAGTGAGGGCCTTCTTCCACCTCCTTTTCTCCAACATTCTCACATGAAAAAGTTTGCTGAAACAAAAACTTTTGATTCTATGCTAGCTATGAAAATAGGGTAAAAGGTACCAATACAACAGCAAGAGCATGCTGTACTGGCTTGCCCTCTACAAAAACCATACCAGAGAATGTTTTAGGTCTCTTGATGAAGCAGTTCTGAACTTGTAGAACTGCATGAGGAAACACTCCAATGATTAACACATCACTGAGTTGTATCTGTTTTTTTTTAACAGGAAAAGCTGTTGCAGCTTCCTGTTTTAGTTCACTATGCTTCCAGTAAAAGTCGCTTGTATAGTTCTAAGAACAAAAGTACCAACAGTAAGAGGAATGACATCGTGGAAACAAAAATGAAGGTCTGTTAGGATGAACCTAACAGAAATACCGGAGAGAACATACTGCTTCCAAGCTTGTGATTTTTAAAAGTTTAAAAATGCTTTTCTATTGAAGACAAAAAATATCATTGTACTAAAATGGTGCATAAATTTCTTTTTCAAAAGAAATGCTAATCTACAACTTACACTATAAATCCAGAAGTTCCCATCATTCTTAAGTTTGTGAAATCCACAGCAAACTTCTGCAGTGTCATATGGATCAGAATGTTTTATGCACAGAAGACAAATATTTATGACAACAAAAATAAAATGGTAGAGTTCCTTCAGAAAAAAAAAGTTCCATAATAGGTATGTATATGTGAAAATGCACACTTACCAAGATTGAGATCCAAAACCATACCAAGCCAACTGAAGGATCTGAAAGCCAAGGCCAAGAAGAACTGTGTTTTTGTTCCCTATTGACCTCATCAAGATACTGAGAAACACAGTCTGCAAGAGAAATTGATCCAGAAGTTAAATACATATTTATATATAGTTGATACAATTTGTACTTCTAAGCAAAATAATTCAGAAAACCTTCCTTCTGCTGAGAAACTCACACTATTCGTGTTATTCATTTTCCCGTAATAAAATCAAAATGCAAGCCATGATACTAGCATCTGATGTACAGATACTATTAGGTACTACAGAATTTCTGCTTAAGCACTCTAGACTGTATGTATTGCATTCTCTGTATACATTACAGTAGAAACAGATGCAGAGATATAGATAGGATACTACTTCCATGCCTACCATTTATTTTCTCAAGAAGCAGAAAGCTACACAATAAAAACTGGTCTTAACAGAGTAAATATTTCAATTAAGAAGTATCTATGAATGGAAAATGGAAGGGGGAAAAAAAAGTTACCTTAGAATTTTTTAACTGGGGGAGAGGGAAGTGTGAATTACTATGCATGTTTACAATTGAAATCAATGACCAAACCCTGCTGCTTCCATTACTTCATAACTTGTACCAAAGTTTGGTCAAGTTCCTTTCCTTTACAATTTTTATTATATATTCTACTTATTTTCACATCAGTCTTTTGACCTTTCTGCTTGCACATGGAAACAAATCATAAAGCTTTTCATCTGACATTACTACTGAAGGGGAAGAAAGCCTCAATTCAGGTACCAGAGTAATAGCCCCATGGCAACGGGCAGATTGTTCCCAGTAAGACAAAAGTCCAAACAGACAGCCTCAGGGAGTTAAGAGCACACATATTTTTCTTTCACATTAAGGTCCCCATGAAAAGCCTGGGAAAAGGAACAAAAATGATTGCAGAGCAAATAATATTCCCTCTCTCCTGGTCTGTTTTACTGATCTCAGTTTTCTTGTGCCCCCATGCTTAGTTTTAGTCCTGGTTAATTTGAAAGCCAAATACCCCAAATAATTCTAATCTACATGTTAAACAATCCTTTCTAGGTAGTATATCCAAAATGCCAACTTGCAAATCAGTATTTATGCTGTAAGATTTACTTCATTAATTTCTGCTCTTCCGAATTCAAAAAAGAGGCAAGTTTCTGCACTTTGATAGTTAAAAAAAAGTCACAAACCAGAGTGTTAACCACTGTACAGATGTTTTATAAAAATATTAAGATTCTTTTGAGTAAATTACAACTGGAACTTTAAGATAGCATAAGAGCATCAAAAGAAACAAAGCAAGGGTCAAAAGAATAGCTTGTATTGATCAGGGACACAACTGATACCAATATAACTCGTATCAGCAACACCGAGGAACATGTTTGTATCAGACTTCCATTCTGCTTACACAGGGATAGCAAGAAGAAAACAAGGAAACGGGCACAGTGCGTGGCAAGATTTACGAGGCTCAACAGAAAAGAGATCACAACATAACGATTGCCTGACTCCTAAAAGATCTGTCTCAGCTCACTGTTTCCAACTAAGAGGAATGAAAATTATACACCAACACCTCAGAAGTCCCTCAATCTCCAAGCTGAGCTTAAGTAGCCTTGGCCAGACCACCTAGACACAGGCATCTTGTTTATATAAAAAATGGATACCATAAGCCAGTGAAATCCATAAGCACTGGTGCTCATACTCGTATGTATGAATATAGTCTTTACATCCTTTCAAGAACGTAAAAAGTTTACAGGCAAGTATAATATTCAGAAGTGCTTCAGCAGCCAGTTTTGTGCTGTTTAGTAAAAAATAAAGCTTACCTGAGCTATTATAGACAGGATTCCTACTACAGCTATAAATGCTGCAATGCTAACAGATCCAAACCCTATAATCTGAAAGGAAACAGGAGATGATTAAAACAAAGCTAAATAGTGCTAAACAGTCTAGGAAAAGTACTAGCAAAAATATTTTTCCTTTTAAAGAAAATATTCATCCCTCCTTGTAATTCTCAAAAATAGGAATACTTCTATTAACTTTATTGCTTGCTGAGAAAATCCACAGAAGGAAAACAAAAAGGTTTTTGTTCCCACCCCTTCCTGATGCTCCTCTCCTCCTCTTCCCTCTCACCCCCCACCAAAAATAAATAAATAAATAAAAGTGAGATGCCCAAGATTATTCATTTGGAAATTAAAGTTCCCTAACCTTCCCACAGACACAGCAGTACTTCTTCAGCAGGCAAAATTCCAACTTGAGACAAGATCCCAACATGACATACAAACTACTGCACTGAGTGGCACCAAGGTCTGTTTAACTCCTGAACATACTCCAGCTATGTCAGGCTTTATGAAGTACCTTGACTAGCTATGATTAGGTTTCCCTAGTCGAGTTTCCAGCTTCATTCAGTCCTTTACTCACTGAAGCACCTTGCCTTTATTAATGTATACACTACATAAAATTGCATTTTGCCTGAATGCAATTTTCTAAGAGTCTTAAATAAGAAACAGGTCTCAAGGAACCTCTGTTTAAACAGCATTATCTGGATAAGAATTACGACACTAACCTGTCTCAAATACAGAAAAAAGCTAGAATACTGGCCAGCCTCTGGCAGATAGGAGAGAAACACTGTAATACAGATTGGGAGAACTGTAGTATCCTTTCTGACCTTCTTCAGGGACTAAAAGACAAAAGAAGTAAAACAAGTATTAAAACACAAAGTCTAATGAAAGATACAAACATAAACACAAAGTCTAAGAAATCTGATGTTGGATTCAATTTCATTTCTTTTTTCCACTTTTACCCCATACATACTAATCAAATCCTAAGCAAAGAAAATTCTACAAGGAAATAGATAAACTAAACATTTAGTTAAAACAGCTATTTGTTGCAGGCAATTTTAACTTCTCTAATTTATTCCCCTATAATCTGTTCTGAATGATGCTAGCAAACTATAACCTCATTGTTACTCTTTATGTTTCCATTGCAAATTACAAAATTATTTTTCCAGTCTGAAAAGAAAATAAACTATGGAAAACAAACTTAACTGCAGTCTTTCAAGCATGTCACTCATCTCTCAACATTCACAAAAATCCCTTATAGCGTAATCCAAGAACAAGTCATTAATTTCTTCAGATACTAGTGTATAACACACACACAAATAAACCTCTCTATGAAAGCAGATAGCATAAAAATCATAGAACATCTTGTAGTGTCAGTTGTTGGGGCTGCAATAGCTTAGGAATTCAGCATTTCTCTTATTGTAAAACAGATGAAAGCAGATTAGAATAGTTAACCATTTCCTTTGGATTTCAAAACAAAGTTCTTTATTATTATTTACCCAGCCTTTTAGTACAACAATAGAGATTATGGTGTACTGTACAAATCTTTACAAAGAATAATTATTTAAATATTTTATGGAAGTGCATCTTACTGCAAAAGGGTCTGCTTGTTCCCATGATATAGAAGCTCCCCATGAAGCAGGCCTCATTTTTTCAGGTAGAGATTCTGGTACAGCTAGCAGGATGAAACAAATGTCCACAACAGCCACCATGGTGGCCACCAGCACAACAAGATTATCCCCATAGCTGGCAGACAGGTATGCACCAATGGCAGGACTAGTAACCAAACTTGCAGCAAAGGTGGCCGATACCTATGAAGAAGAATAGTTCACAAAGTTGTCAAATTGGTTACTCTGTCAGTGTCTGTTAGTGAAGAACTAACTCTCTAATGAAAACATGAGAGTCTTTCATTTGACTGCAAACTCATTTCACTGAAAAGTCATATATGGCTGGAAATACGAGCTCAAATAAGAAGTTTCTGCACCCTCCTGTATAGATGAAAGACATATTTTACATTCAAAGACTGAAAACTGAATTTGGCTGAATCAAAGGAAAATAGCTCTCACAAAAAAAATGTTTAGTCCAACGAAAGTTTTCCTATTGAGAATATGACAAGATTTAATTGAATATTGAATATTTGATTGTCAGCATATTTAAATGTTTGCCTAAATGAACTTAAGTCTCAGAACTCTGATGAATAAAGTAATAGACCCTGCCTTTGTCAGCATTCTGAATTATAAATATGTATAGTTAAAACTCACTGTGCAGCAGTAAAATAAGAGATCAGCTATAACAAGAAGTTCACAAACAATTGTACTCCTTATTAGATTGTCAGAGCACAGGGTTGGCAAATCACTTTTATTCATATACAGAGGAACATGCTGGATAGTCTGAGGTGCTGTAAAATTTCACTACAGAAATTCATCAGAAAGGGTTAAAAAAAGTTGGAGTTTTTTTTAAAACATTTACCACTTTTTCCCCCACACCAAAATATGCAATTCTTGCATGACTATTGTGTAGAATAAGTGATGAATTGAGCTAGAAGCTTAGTTTTAAACCTACTAGAAGAATCCTAAGAAAAAGCAGGCATAACAGATCAATCTACTAGAAAAAGACACAGATCTCACTGGAACATCTTCACGTTAGCATCTATTGTTTTATAGATTTTTAAGGGGAAAAATGGGGGGAGGGATAGAAAAAGCTGCATTGTTTCACAACTTAAATGGAGGTGAATGGATGTTCCAACTACACGCATGACCCTTTAAGGGCAAGAGAAACAAAACAGAAGTTTCAGAACTTGTAATATTATTTCATACAATGCTACAATACCTTACATAAATTTGATGCGAAAGAATTAAAGTCTTTCATTTTCTTAACTGTTAAATCAACATTTGAGAACCATTAATTCCTAAGGTTTTATATTATTTTTAATTATCTTTTATAAGATCAAAGGACAACTGAATTCAGTACTGTCATTCAAGAAGCAATTCCATGAAAAATTGTATAATGAAAACAAATGCACAGAGGATGAAAGGATAAACCAAGTTGAAAGTGGGCCTCTGGTTGCACAAAACTTAAGCCCCTATAAATACTTGCAAAAGTAAGAAAGGTAGAATTATTATTTTTGGAAAACCTGGTTGTGCAAACTAAACTATTTTTCTTTCCACCTGTAAAGTAAGAAGCCTCATGAAGAGTATAAAAAATGGTTGCATTATGTGTTTCCTTCTGTCTCCCTATTTATGGCTGTAGAAAAGCCATTCTATATAGTTCTATAACAATAATCAATCATACAAAGGCAAACACACAAATCATAGTTGGATAGAGAAGTGCCCAAAGCAGCAGCAAATAACTTGTACTGCTGTCAAAACCACTGCTTCTTCTTACTGCAAAGTCTAAAACAACATGGCTTGCTAAATATGTCTCATTTGCAGGCATAGTTGTCAAGTGTTGATCTACTTTGCTAAGAGGACAAAGCAATCTATGCAGCAACGGAAAACCGGAATTAGACCTTTCAAATTTTAACACAATGCCTTGATCCATGATTCATTCCTTTATTTACCTTGTTACATGTATCAGGAAACATTCTTTGTGTTAAAACACAAGCTCAATACAAAGGCCAAATTTGACCTTTTTTTTTTTTTTTTTTTTCCAAACTAAAGTTTAGTATATCTTACCAGTCCATAGGCTGTAATTCTTTCATGTTCTTGTGTTACATCAGCTACATAGGCAAAAATTACAGAAAAGGTAACAGAAAAGATTCCAGATACTGAAATCATAGCGAAGTACCACCTAATGATTTAAAAGCAACAATTAGAAAATTTAAGCTGAAGACGACCTCTAGTTCTCCTACTATCCAAGCTAGCTTTTATCTAGCCTATGAAAATAGTTTATCTGGAACTACTTAGGGCTCTATAGGAGATGAATTATAGTAGTCCAGTATAGTGCAGCTTAGCTACAATACTGGAAATTATTGCTTTAATTTTTGATACTGTATTCACTATGCATACAACGAGAAATGACCTCTTAAGAAGGAGATAACTATGTTTTCACACACTTTTCACACTGAAGCAAGCTGCAATTGAGAGGAATCATTTCACAACGCGGTTCAGAAGTTACTCTAGTGTCATTTATCATCTAGTTAAAAAAGTAAACTATCATATATTACTGCTTCAGAAGCTTAACTGCAAATGTACTATGTACACAAATCTCTTCTGTTATCAAGTTTCACAACTAAGGTAATGAAACTGAAACAAAGACAATTTCAGGTCAGTTAAGATTTCAAAATTTCATGACTGAAGAATTAAATGTGGTCAAATAAATACTAAGATTTGTTCTCCTTTTAAGAATACGCTACTTACAGTGTCTTATGAGGCCTCAAAGAAAAAGTCACAGTTAAGCTTATAGCTACAAACTAGACATTGCTATTAAACCATTTCAAAATTTCAAATAGTTTTTCCTTAAAAAGAAATGAAACCAGTACTTTTAACAGCTTTTGAACAGCTTTTGAAAGCTTCAGAATGTAACTACATCTTAAAAATAAAGCTGTCTTATTGTGTCTCTCCCACTTACCCAAGCTACTACACCTGTAATTGATTTTCCTGCTACACCATTAAGTTCCCTCCTGAAGTCTGTACCACTTACCATGGACTTATTCTCATTAAAGGAATTGGGACACAAGTGAAGAAAACTGTGAGAAGGAGAAAAGATTTTCTTCCACATGCATCTGATAGAGCACCTATTAGCGGAGCACTGAGAAAGGACAAAAAACCCTGTGAGAGAAGAAAATAAAATTAATATCTTCATTTATATTTCCAAGTTTCATTTTTATAGCAGCCTAAAGAAAGCGAATCACAGAATCTTAAAGGTTGGAAGGGACCTCTAGAGATCATCTAGTCCAACCTTCCTGCTCAAGCACGCACACCTAGAGCATGTGGCACAGGGTGGCATCCAGGCGGGTTTTGAAGACCTCCAGAGAAGGAGACTCCACAACCCGCCTGGGCAGCCTGTTCCACTGCTCTGTCACCCCAGCAGTAAAGATGTTGCTCCTCACCTGGAGACGGAACTTCTTGTGTTTCAGCTTGTGGCCATTACCCCTCGTCCTATCGCTGGCCACCAGTGAAAACAGCTTGTCCCCTTCCTCCCTGCATTCTCCCTTCCTGAACTTATACACATTAATCAGATCCCCTCTGAGCCTTCTCTTCTTCAGAGAAAACAGGCCCAGCTCACTCAGTCTCTCCTCATACGAGAGATGTTCCATTCCCTTAATCATCCTGGTTGCTCTTCTCTGGACCCTCTTGAGAAGCTCCACATCCCTCCTATACTGGGGAGCCCAGAACTGCACACAGTACTCCAGGTGCGGCCTCCCCAGAGCTGAGCAGAGGGGCAGGATCCCCTCCCTCCACCTGCTGGCAACATCCTCCTCATGCAGCCAGGATCCTATTGGCCTTCTTGGCCACGAGGGCACTGCTCACTCATGGGTAACTTGGTGTCCACCAGGACTCCCAGGTCCCTCTCCGTGGAGCTGCTCTCCAGCAGGTCAACCCCTAATCTGTACTGATGCCTGGGGTTATTCCTCCCCACGTGCAGGACCCTGCACTTGTCTTTGTTGGGCCAAATGAGGCCCAACTCTCTGCCCAACTCTCCAGCCTGTCCAGGTCCCTCTGGATGGCAGCACAGCCCTCCGGAGTGTCGGCCACTCCACCCAGCTTGGGATCGTCCACAAACTTGCTCAGGGTGCACTCCGTGCCCTCTGTGTCCAGGTCATTGATAAACAAGTTGAACAGCACTGGGCCCAGTACTGACCCCTGGGGGACACCACTGGCCACAGGCCTCCAACTGGACTCGGCCCCATTTATCACCACCCTCTGAGCTCTGCCATCCAGCCAGCCCTCGATCCACCGCATTGAATTTGATCGATCCACCACCGAATTTGAAAAAAAAAACTTACAAAACTAAACCACACATTTTCTCCAACAGTCTACTTTTTGTGATTTATACTTTTTTTGTTTGTTTTAAAATTATTAATCCTGATAGCATTTTAAAAGGCAGGTCAGAGACAAACTTTTTAACCTCAATTTGATTCAGTACAAAAGTATCACACAAAGCAAAGGCTTCCTCAACATATCCAAAGTTGCACAGAGGCCAATTTCGTAGCCCTATTTTAAAAATGACTTCTCAATGTGGGGTCCCAGACCAAACTCCCCTCTAACTTACATAGGACAGTACTAAGATGGACTTAATAGCTTAACCATTCTCTGGAATAGTAAAGCAGAAGAACCATGAAAACAGAATAAGGTCTACTGTACTGTACTTCTAGCTTAGACTGTACTTTTATCACATAAAGAACTTTTGTACATTACAACAATTACTAAGACTACTTGAGCTCAGAATTTAAAGCAGTAATTTTGAAAGCAGTAAAGCAGTCATATTACTGACTGTTCTAGTGGCGATATACAAAGCTACAGTAGATTGTCCACGGATAGTGTTTGACAACCAATGATTAGATTTTACAAGCTGTGAAATATTATCTAAGTATCTGTAACTAGATCGAGATTAAACAGTAAATCCAAGAAAATATTCATAAAGGCCTAGAATCCTAGAATCCAGGACTAATTTCTGTTCTGTAGTAGAATGAAGAATTAAAAGAAGGCTTTTCATAGATGTGAGCTCTTGTAAAAGCTCCAGAATATACATACCTACTTCTTAATTAGTACAGTGTTCTCAAAACAACCCAGATCTGCCATAAATCTAAACATCAGTAAAACAGTAAAAACATTGTTCTGCAAGTACCTAAGGTACATTGAAGTCTAACTTTAGCTAACTTTAACTAACCTCTGGTGTTTAAACATAACCAGCTTCCAGTCTAACATGACCATACAATCTACTGTATTAAAGCAATATTATGCCAAATCCTAACAGCTAAGATTCCAGTGATTTCAGTAAATTGAGAGCAAAACCCGTAAAGTCAGACTAGATTGTAACAAAGGTAAATGCCTTAAACAGTTTTAATTAATATTTCTGCTGCTTCTAGCCAGAATCACCTAGACTAGACTAACATTCTTTGCTATTTGGTACCCAAAATAGTCTTAATGTTTCATTGACAGCATTTTGAACCCTCCAATCACTGATTTTAGATATTACTCACAATAGTTACACTGCATTGTGAATGAACAATGAACTGAGTTGAGAAAGAAAGCAACAGGAGAAACATAAGCTTAGCTTTGTCAAGAGAAGAACACAAATGTAACTGTATCTTCTGGTCTGAGACATCCCTAAATACTTTCTGAGTGGGGTTTCTGAAACATTGTCAATCAATACAAAAGATACCAATCTAGGGATTCCTTGTAAAAAAATGTCATCTTTAAAAGCTGTTAGAACTGTTAAAACTGTTGCTAAAACTGTTGCAACTGAATAGAGCTGAATAACTTCTTGTCTGTTGTAAATAATAGGTGATAGTTTGCACTAAGTATTTTGAAGACTTTCTGTAAGTTGATTAGCAGGGATGACATTTCAAAAGTTTTATCAGAGAAAAATTTTAGGCATTTTTTTTTCCTGTCAACAATACAGCATGTCCTAAACACCAGTGTATCATAAGTAAGTTCCTATAAGAACTTTGATCACCTCTTAATGTTCAAAATGATCACTAAAGATCAGGAAAAAAAATGCTGAAAAAATCAATATCTTTTATGCTATATATTGGGAAAAAAATCATGTTTAAGTGCTTCGTTTCTTATCTCAAAGGCATCGACATGGTTGTACTAATCTGCTTTTGAAGTGCAGATGATGATCTGACATCAAAACACAGACATTACTGCCACTCTTGGAAGGATCCATACCAACATTACAGTAATCAACTGCAACCTATTCAAACCAGAGCTATTTTATCTTCTAAAAAATATTTCAGTTGTTTTACAATGCTATTTAACTGTAAGTCTTAAATCAAGTCCAAGAACATGCAATCAGGACAAGACCTAAGACTTTTACTACCAGAATATTTTTATACATAAGAATACTACCAGATATTTTTATACATAACTGAAAGAATGACTACATTACAGGAACAATTACAAAGAATATCTAAGCAATTTTACCTTAACACCTTGAATAAGACCATTCATTAAAAACGTATGATGAGAAAATGTTTCATGTAAGACCTGAAGAAAAAATAAATACATATTAGAGTCTGAAGAGACAGATGAAAAATCAAGGGAAGGTTTGCATTTGATTTGTGAAATATGACACCTCAACTGCAACTTGTTAAAAAGATATCTTTCCCCATTATTATATTATTTTTATATTTTTGGTATACTTTTATCCGTGAAATATTGACAAACTTTACTATCAATTTACTAATAAAAATGTTTATGTAGGCACAGGGTATTAATATTTTTATTTAGGACAGTTTGATCAAAAGGATTAGAATAACGAAAAAGTGCCCATGTCATACAAATCACACATCTTTTACAATGGATAATTCCTTCATGTGATTGATTTGATCACTGTTACTACTACACAGGAGTGAAAATAAGTCTCAAATAACTGTTAGTCTGTCAAATAAAGTCAAAAGCAGAAAGTTCCCACACATACCTAGCAAGAAAAACATGCTATATTTACAACGGCCTAAGAAGGTACCGTACAAACTGTTTCTTATCTGCAAGCACTCGAGCTCTCCCCCTTTTCCTCTCCCCCTCCACATTACAGATTAATCTCCATCTAAGAGAATTATTACACTCTAAAAATTAGACTTAGGGATTAGGAAGAGAAGGAAAGTACAACAGCCAATTTACTGTTACGAACACAAAATTTTCAATGATCACACAGCTAGAAACAGTTTTAATCAGCAATTAAACACTTACGAATACTAGCAACAGTTCCCAATTCAACCGTTCCATGAACTCAATAAGGGACTTTAATCAAGGGCAAGCTTGTTCCTGTTAAGGCCAATCTACTGTTAAGGCCAAGCAATTTTTTAATGAAGAGATATTGACATAATCAAAGTGTGTATAAACACACTTTTCAGACATCAGTCCTAGGTAACTAACATCCACAGACTAGTATCTATCCAAGCAATTAAAGGATAATTTCAAATTGGCTTGCTACTGTTACCTCTGAATAGAAGTGCCAACATCTGCAAAAATTATGTATGTGTGTATTGAGAAATTTTCTAGCTCAAAGAAAACACTTCAATGTCACTGAAAGACACAAGCATTGCTTTTTTTTCAGGAATGGGCAAAATTCTCAAACCACAGATTTAAAAAATATACCATTCAGATAATTCTGCTTCTATACCCCTGTTCCTGCCAATATCTCCAACTGCTTAGGAATTTATAACAATTCTGCATCTGTTCATCTATAGCTCTTCTGATGGGAGTGGAAGAAGAGTTAAAAAAAAAAAAAGTCAAGTAAAAAATCAACATAGGCACTCTGAAAGCAGATGTCTTGCAAGTCTTAACAAAAGCACAAAGCTCAAGGTAATCTCTCTGTACAGCATTTTTCCAGTATTTTTGTTGGAAGCAATCAGCACATAGAATACAAGTTCTAGCTTGGATCTATAAGGCAAAAGAAAACTATTTTCAAAGTAAAATATATATATATAGAGAGAGAGAGAGAATTTCCTTTGAATAAAGCATTTGATATTAGATATTTACAAAAATATATGATATTAAAGACATGAAATGATCAATACTATTTACAGTAATTCACTAATATTTTCATATTTATAAATAAGAAGCCCATAAATAAGAGTAATGAGTATGAACTTTGGGCATTCTGTATGTCCTTTGTATACAACCAAGTGCTTATATAAGTATTTTATAAACATTTTATATTTCTCTTAACCAAGTATAGCACAATATACAGGATGCCTAAAGAAGCTGAAAGAAAACTAAAAAGCTCACTTAAAATAATCTCTGCTATAGTGAACTGCATGCAATTTATTTGGGTAATAGACAACAAAATATTTTAATGTTAAAATGTTTAATGTTAAAATTAATATTTTAATTAATATTTTAATTAATATTATTATTAAATTGATAAATTGCATTAGTTAGTTAATTAATTATTTTTTATTAAATTAATATTTTATCCAAGTGTTAAAATTAATATTTTAATCCAAGTTTTGAGCAGAACCTGGAGCACAATCACCAAAACTTGAGTAAGAATTGTTTTGACGAGTACATTTCTGTCCTTTTCACAGTACTAAACAAAACTGAACAAAACATGAGCAGCTGGCAGCTCAAAGTCTGGAGCTGGTTCACAGGAAGGCTCTCCATGATCTCTAATGCTACAGCTTGATGAGCACACCCAAATTAACATGAGCATGCAGTGAATGAGAAAGATGCAAATAGCTAACCAGCTCTGAAATAGTTTAAAGCAGGCACCACATATTCTGAAGAGCTGATTAAAAATAATGACAAGCTATATTCATCTACACTTATTTTAGCTTTCATCATCGTATTTAAGTTAGTGCTTAACACTAGCATTTGAACCAAACGCAAGAGTCTTGTAAGTATTCAAGTTTGTAGAAGAAACACAACATGCAAAATAGAGGATGATATTCACAACCTCCACTTTCGTTTCTGCATGTACAAAATCCAAATACTTAGATCCAGGTAATAATTTTAAGTTAGAAGCACTCCATAACATTCATACTGAATACAGTACACTGAAAAATATTAAATCCAAGAATTGCAATTTGAGCTGCATGTGATCAATGGTGTGAATTTATATGAAACTTTTTAAATTGTGTACAACACTAAAGAAGACTCCCATCTAATAAAAAATATAGTTTTACTACAGAAATTTTGATGACTAAGAACGAACTACTGTCCAATTAACACCTCTCTAAACTGCAGGTGCCAAGCTAGCACAACTTGAAGGTGAGTGCTTTGCTTTAAAAAAAAATGAAAATCCAACACACTTCCTCATACTTTCACTCTGACAAGTCAGGACAGGACAGCAATCCTCTGAGACGTCTGCGTTATAGAAATCTGTTAAAAATTTATACACTGTTATTAGTAGGCTATGTTAAGAAATGTTAAGAAACATCACCAGATATCTTTAGAAGGTTTCACAGACACATTTTTAAGGGCAATGAAGTCAATCTTGCTTGGAGACTGAGAAAGAAAAATGTGAAACACCAAGGTCTGGTATCCCAAAACCCATGCCAGTCACATGTTCAAAATATTCTTGGGTATAAACTGTGGGAAAAACCAACCTAACAGATTTTTGTACTTCAGGCACATCTAATTTTAACAAATTAGAACATGTGTTCAGAAGAAAAGTTTCATATCCTTTTATCAAATGCTCCAATTATCTATCCGTTTGGAACATACCTGTAACATAACACATTGAATACTTGTAAAAGCAATTTCTTAGATGAAAACCTTTCCATTCCACTTCAAGTTGTATGCTGACAAAACAACAAGCCCATACTGAATTACATACATAATCATTAAATAATCTATATTTTCCATAATTAAAACAGGCAGATAGGCTGGACTATGATGTCTCAAAAAAAAAAAACTAGCGATCCTAACATACATTCAACTATTCTAAAAGGTGATTAAAATGACTTAAAAATGTATTAATGGATTCCAAAATACCTTTTAGCCTTCCAGTAGTCCAGCTTTCAGCCTCAGAAGGATACTAGGATACTACTATACAGTGATGAATATTAAAAGATGCCACCCCTGAATTTAAGAATTTGGCAGAAATTTTAAACCAAAAAGCATTATTTCTAGCAAGTAAAAAATTAACTTTTGCCATTACTTTAAGACAAGCCAGCAATACTTACCGTTAACATTGGAGTTGTCAACAGACCCCAGGCAAAGAATTCTAGAAATATGACCACCACCGCATGGTATACACTTGCCCGTCCACAACCTTGTTGCTAAAAAAGAAAAATATTTGCAGTGGCTGTACACATCCAGTGTGTATGAGTAAATATATCTTAAAGATATTTTGAGAACAATCAGCTTTTAAGATGGCCTACTGTTATGCCCTTGGGAACACTAATAAGCCAAATAAGGGTGCAGAAGAACTATTACAAAATGACTAGCTATCTCCAAAGAAATTTGAAAGACTGTTCCCTCAGTCTCTTGCTGACTGAAGAAGACTGTTTTTTTTGATTCCTGACACTGCCCTGTACTAACCTCCCCTTCAGGCTATATTTAGGCTCCCTTCTCCTTGAGCAATTCACAGCCTTCTGTAATAGGACTTAAAATTTGGTAAATCTCCCTGCTACCACCATAAGTTTCAGAAGAAACAGATGAGTTCATAGCGACAAAGTCTTAATTACAACAAAACTAATACAACACGCAGAAAAAGAAGAGAATTTTGTGTTTGAAAAATAAGAGCGAACTGACAGCTTATACACCCTGTAAAGCTCTCTGTTGACCAATTATTTCCATACTTCAGGCTGTAAGACTGCAGTCCCAAGAGCTACACTGATGCTTAATACATAGGTCCCACAAGGAATTAGCACAGAAATACTTACACTATTGTGAACACACAGACATCCCATTCCACTCCTGAGAGTTCAGCAATTCTTAGAAAGGAATAGTGGAGTGCTCTCGTCTACTACTCCCATAAAAATCTCAAGTTTACCCAACAGACAAAAGGATGTTTCTCCTGCAAATTGCACAATCTAACAATGCTGGATGAAGTTCAAGAAACATCATCTAGTGGCACATATCAGCCAGATTATCTCATTTGGACAGCTGCAGAACAACGAAAACTTGAACCTCAGGAACTCCCAATAAACCTGAAAAAGTCAGAGAGCCTATTACAAAGGTAGCATGCAATTACACCCTTACATTTTTCCTATTACCCTTCATCTCAATTAATAAGCATGACAAGATTAGAAAGCACTTTTAAACAATATTAATTTAAATCTGCTGCCCATATTAAAGACTAAAAAAAAAACCCTACTGTAAATTCAACATAATTGCCTATTTCTCTTATAATTTTCAGAACAGATTTCAAGTTTGTATTGGCAAACTAAAGCCAGAAATGCTTAGTTTGCTAGTAGATTAGTTTAGATGCTTTTTAGATAATACAATTTCAACTAATAAGAGTTTATATTGTAGCTTCATTAAAAATTACAGTTTTAAAGAAAATAATTCTCTCTCCAGGAAAATAATATAATACCTTAGACTATTACATTATCATATCAGAGAGACATTTATAACTTTCAAGAACTATTAATACTTTCTGCATTTACCATGCAGTTTTTAATTTTAAAATAGCCAAGTATCCAAAGATTACAGCTAATATTCTATTCATATAAGGAGTTCACAAGTATTTCTGGATAGCCAAACACAGAAATTATTTTAAGAGTATTATTTCCATCAAATATCTGTCAGTAAGAACACTATTTAAGACATATTAGACTTTAATCTGAAGAACCTTTTCCACCATGCTCCCCTCTGAAAAAGGCAAACTCTACAGTAGAGAGCAACAAAGGACACCTCAGCCTTCTCCATCTCTAATCTATATCCCCTATACTACTTCATCCCACATGAACATTGTAAGATGCCGAACCACAATACCACTCAATAGATTAACACATATATATATTTTAAAGTACCAGAAAAACAAAAGTTTTCATTATACAGAGATATTATCTGAAACTTAGATGGTTGGTCAAAAGATGCATACCTATATTTAAAAATATTTGCCTGTTCTTCACTAACCAAATAAGACCTTCTCTAAAGAAATGCCTTCACAGAATCACAGAATGGTTGATGTTAGAAGTGAACTCTAGAGGTCATCTAGTTCAACTCTCCTGCTCCAACAGGGACACCCAGAGCACAGGGCAGCATTCAGGTGGTTTGGAAGATCTCCAGAGAAGAAGACTCCACAACCTCCCTGGGCAGCCTGTTCCAGGACTCTGCCACCCTCACAGGAAAGAAGTTCTTCCTCACAGGTTCTTCCCTCTTGTTGTATTGCTCCTAAATGAATATTTCTTAGAGACAAAAAGAAATTTTTGGCAGTGCCATCTAGATAGTTGGATGAAATTAAAAAAGCAAACACGACCAAAAAAAAGAAGACAAGTATCTCTATACTCTTGTGGATTCAAGAGATAACCTGCAAAAAAAGATTTAAATCCTGAAAGTAGTTAAGTGTCTGTCAAAATGAAGTCATGCACTCCAAATGACATACAAACAATTTGATTTAAGACATACAGACTATGTTGATCAGTGAATTTGGTAACTAATGATTTTCTGTTTTCTTTACAGGATCCTAGACATTTAGACTACCTGAAGGACTCCCTCGCAAATGACTATCAGGTAATTACATCATGAGAAAAGGACTAACTCTGTGCAACAAACTGATATAGATATATTTGCCTCTAGATGTCTCCCTTTCCTGTATGCCTTGAAAAATCATATTTTTTTTTTAAATCAGTGTCATGATTGAACAGAAAAAGAAAAGCTTATAGTTGAACAAGTACACAAAACTATTAATTAAAAGGGATGAAGATCTCTAGTGAGTTAAAAAAAGAGCTTCAGAAAGGGCTTCCCAAAAGTACTTCTCTTGGCATGGCCTTTTAAGAAAAAACTACACCAAAATAAGTGGGTAGGGTCAGTTTTTGTACTGAGAAAATATATTGCAACAGAAGACAACTGTATGCAAACTGTGTAAAGAGAGCTTGAGTCCTACAAATGCAAAGCAGGTAACAACCTGAAGCACAAGGAGCTTTAGGGTTTTTGAACTACAAAATAGGGGGAAAAAAAAAACTTTTTTTAAACAAAGAAATGCAAATAGCAATGACCTAGTCAATTTACAAACTGCTTTCTTTTCCTGCCTTCATCCATCCATAGTTTTTAAAACTTTGCTGAGACCTTTTATGAGAAATGAGACCATTTCTAACATAACTAACGCCTCGAGATTTGTCACAGGGTTACTCTTTCCGTCCATGTACATTTTTATGCAACTGCCTAGTGTGTGGGCTGAGAAATTACGTATGAACATTATGGTCACTTTCAAATGCAGCTGTTGGTCAAATTATTACACTTGCATAACCAATAGCAGGCAAAACATTATACAATCTCAAATGCTTAACAAGAAAAGTTTAAGGCATCACTACAAAGCAAGTGCCAGGTGTCACACAAGTTCCAACAAACTATCCAACACGTTTCCAATTTTACAATATTTATACCGCTGCTAAGCTTCTCCCCACCCACTTCCAAAAATTGGACAGTAACCCACAAGTTAATTTGGAGACAACAATGAAAACTATTGGGATTTTTTTTCCCCAATTAGAACACAGCTGCTGAATTTGTACAAAACACATGAGAAGATACCAAGATTATAAATCCAGCTGGTGAGGAACTGCTCATGCACAAGGCAAACAAATTACTATGTTGCATCAGTAAAAATACTTTGTCTTAGCCTTTCTAAAGGAAAACAAGTACAGCTCAAATATTCCAAATAAAGATCCATTTTTACAGATAGCTCTACTCAAAACCTTTAGAGCAAAGCTTGAATTCAAACTACTTGTATATGAATATGTTCTTGGACAACTATTTGCCTATTAGATCAAACTTATACTTTAGTTAGTCTCATTGTTCAAATTGGTTGCAGGAGTCTAACACGGTATTTCAAACTTTCAACGTAGTGCATTTTTGCATCTGTAATGTTCTTACACCACCCCTCACGTCTTGAATGCTGAAGCATTCCAAACTTCCTTTTCAAACTTTGCAAATTTGTATGATGGTGCTGAGACAGATTGGGAAAAAGATTGGCTTTAACTGGATAAATACATCACACTTTTTTCCACTCCATGAGGGCAGTCAAGCAGTGGAGCAAGTTGCCTGAGGAGGCTGCATGGGCTCTGTCTTTGGAGATTTCTGAGCTCCAAATGGATAAAACAGAGGGCAACCTGATCTGGCCTCACAAGTTGACCCTGCTGCAAGCCAGTGGGGTGTCTCACACCCTTTAACACCTGCTGAAGAACTTTCCAGCCTAAATTATCCTTTCGTGTCTCAGGAAAATAGCAAACAAATTCAATCTGAACTTCTGAACTAACAACCACAGCAACAATTTTAGCATCACACACAGAGTGATTACCTCTCAGGACATTACTGTATTAATGCATAAACACATGATGTGCCAGTGTGAATTCTCTTACTGTCTGCTTATGGACCTTTTACCTCTTTTGTTTGTAAGGATCTTTCCTCTTATCTTTCCTCTTATTGGCAACGCAGACTGAACCATCACAGAAAAATGCAGCAGCCCAGGTCTCTAGCTGTGGCAGGTGTCTGAGCCTCTCCTTGTTCCCGGGGAGCAGCAAAACACCTGCCTTAGGTGTGAGCAGGTGAAGGACCTACTTAGCCTGGTGATGGAGCTGAAGGAGGAGGTGGAAAGGTTGAGGAGCATTAGAGAATGTGAGAAAGAAACAGACTGGTGGAGCAGCATCCTGCAATCATCCCAGGAAAGGTACCCACAGAACCCCCAGCTCAATATGGGAGGAGAATCCACTACCCTCTTGCCATAGACTTCTTGCCTTTCAGGGGCTTGAATAAGGAGTGTTGCAGAGAGGCTGCCAAGGCTCGTCCAGGAGTCTGACTGTTACTGTTTCGTGTGGGCACTGATGATGTCACGGGGAAACTGAGCAATATCAAATGAGATTTCAGAGCCCTCAGGATGGCTGCCAAAGGTCCGGGAGCCCAGGTTGCGTTCTCCTCTATCCTGCCAATGAGGGGAATGGATTTAAGAAGAAGGTGAATATATCAGGTTAACAACTGGCTGCGCAGCTGGTATTGGCAACGGGATTTTAGTTTCTATGACCATGGGACTCTGTTTGAGGACCACCATCTGGTGGGAAATGATGAAGCGCCACCTCAGTAAGAGGTCTTGCCAAAAGGCTGGCCAACCTCATTAGGAGGAATTTAAACTAAGCAAGAAGGGGGAAGATGAGTGTTACACAGCCAGGACAATCAATGTCATGAAGCTG